TGATTTGCCAAAATTCTACCCAAGCTTTCCAATATCTTGCCTCTTTGTCAAGTGAAAGGGAACCTAGAGAATCCAAGGTTAAATAATCTATCATCATTGATGGTTTCACAGAATCGGGAAATGATGTTTGGATTAACTCTTCTTCCACCTTATTTTTCAGTTTGACTAGCAATAATATTAAAGTCCCAACTACTAACTAATTACTAGCCATATTGTTGCCAATGCAAGTGAGTTGCCTCCATAGATCCTCTCTAATAGATCTAGTGCAACCAACATTCACAAAAGTGGACATACAATGGAAATTATCCAAGCTCGGCTCAACATGTAAATACTATGGATCATCAATCAATACACTGACTAATAACTGCTTTCTCAAAAATAACCAAATCTTGTTATTAACATTGGATTTGTGGTGGAGATTCCCCAACTTCCTCAAAATTTGTTTAATGTTTTTAGAAACCAAAGGCTCTAGAATTGCAAAGCACCAAAAATTATGGATCTTTATGAGATTTTTGAGTCTATCGATGGAACAAGGACCAGCAAGTCCCCCGATATTCCAAACTAAAATTTTAATCATAATGAGAAAACTTGATTCCTCTAGTAAGCCTAGGAAGGGTAGCAACTCAAACTTGTTATAGGAAGAGAAATGAAAAACCTTCTTGTGTGAGCATGTTACTTGCTAGTAGCTTTCTCAGCTCCCAGTTCCCTTTCTTCTTTCTCCCTGATTTCTGGATGTTACATTCCTCTTCCAGCTTCAGTCTAACATCAAACAACAAATTTTTCTCAACTTGGATGGTTCCACTCCTCCAAGATAGAACGGTTGTGTGTAACAATAATTAAGGTGTCCATCTCTGGCTCATTCAAATGTTCATTTTCTTTTGTTGTCATGCCATCTAGTAGTTCAATATTTTGATCACCAGCCAAACCTTTAGCTCCCTTGAAAGATGGTTCAATCTCAACATTATGAGTATTGGTTTCCAATGTAGGGGCAGTTTGAATATTAGTGTCATGAACAAATGTGCTAATATTCTCAACTGCTTCTTGCATAAGAGTAGCGAGTTCTTGATTCTCCTTTTCAATAAAATTAGGAGATGGGGGTTTTTTAAGTTCAGAATGCAATTTATAGCATTGTCCAATAAGATGTCCAAATATTGTGTTGTTACCACAATAGTGAGGTATCTCTTCCAAATTGATCTATTGTCAATAACCATTATTTGTTGACCCGATCCATACTTCCTCAACCACTAGTTGGGTGATATCTCTTTCCACAAGAATACAAGCTACTGAAAGCCTAGTTAAGTTGTAATTAGGTGTGTCCAATTTCATTGGTCCCAAAGATAGCGCATAGTGAAAAGAGTATTTGGTATTGAATGGGTGAAGTTCGAGTCCCGGAAACCAAAACCAAATAGGAACAATTAGGATTATGATCAAAATCTGGAGACCATTTCATAAGCTTTATATATTTACCTTCAATATTAATGTACTTTTTTGGAAAAAAATTCTTGCATACTAATCTTCCTTGTTGAGTTGGATCATAATATGTATTTGATGAAACCTTCTAATCGCCTAGGAGCTTTAAACTTTTGAATGCCTTCCTGATTAGCCCATTTTAGGGTGTCTAAATTGAAACTTGCCAACAATTGTAAACTTGCAAGGTTCTGATAGATTAATGTTGTCAAGTTTAGTAAGAAACAGTGCAGTTTTTCCACTTTGCAATCTGCTTTCTTAATGAACTCATTTTCTCCTTTTGTCATCCAAAGAATCATGAAAATTTTGAAGAGAACCAAGAGTTCTAGCATCAAGAATCTGATTAGCAGCTGGATTAGTTACTACATCAACAAAGGAAGGCCTTTCCAAGCTAACTTTGAAAGAAAATGATTGGAACAATAAAAGGGAAGGTGTGAAATCAATAGAACAATAATCATGGTTCAAACCCTAGCAGAGCTTGCGACACCACCATCATGTGTACAAGTATACCCCAAAAAAGTGACCTAGACAAATTTCCCATGCAAAGAAAAACTATCAATCATGATGGAAGGAATTGCCTCTCCCTCTCCCCCTAGTTCTAGGAATGCAGTCCAACAACAAAGTATGCAAGGGGCTTCCACTCGAGACAATCAAACAGTCATCTTATAGATTTTAGAGGTGAGACATTCCTTCTCTCTTCTTATTGGATTTATAAACCTGTCATTCATCTTCCACTTGTTGATCTAGCTGATCGATTTCAGTGGAGAGCTCACGTCGATTTTGGCATCCCTCCAATGCATGAGTACCTTTCCCAACAAAAATAAGTAGTGCCAACTCATTATGATGAATCTCCAATACAACCAAATGAGAGGGATTACGGGTCTCAATAGACTTGCATAAAGGTGGGTTCTCATCAGGTTCACTGGGAGCAATATGAGGTTGTGTAGGAATGCTTCCATTGTGAGGAATGGGAACAACAAACAGCTCATCTGTCTGGTTAACGTTTGTGCTAATAGGTTCCAATAAAGTTCATGATCTAAAGTTGCATCTTTGGTATTACTGGTAGAATTCACATGTTGATGAATCAAGGGTTCCTTTGTGTTTTGTTCCAAAATTGCACTGTCGAAAATACCATGTTCAGAAATAGTTGGTTCCTATGCACATTTTTCATGTATAAAATTATCTATATCCATTGTATTGGAATAATAGGTTTCAACTTTGGGTGTAATCTGAAGCATTTATCATGTGTGTGACCAAACATTTTACAATTATTGTAGTAGTAAGGTCTTTGTTCCATAATGATTTGTTGCTAGCAACCATTGTGAGGAGTGTCAAGCCAGATTTCTTCTACATCTGGAAGTGTAATATCTCTCTCTATTAAAATCCTTGAAACATAAGGCCTTGACAGATTAAAGGTAGAGATGTCTAGCTTCATTAGTTTTCTAAGAAAAACCCCAAATACATATAGTACTTGATCGTTGAAGAAGTAGAGCTTGAGTTCGCGTAATTTAAACCATATAAGCACAATGAGAGGTTCCTGACTTGGATCAAAGTCAGGGGACTATTTAAGTAATTTAATATGTTTGCCCTCAATTAAGATGTATTTCATCGAGAATATCCTTACATAGTCTTCTTTTTTACTCAGTTGTATCATAACAAGTCTTCCACCAAAGAGACCCGTCTTCCAGTCTCCAACTAACTTAAAATCTTCAAACACTTTCCTGATAGTCTTTATCTTAGAGTGACCCAATTGGAACATTCCAATCAGTGTAAATTTATGATCTTCAGCAAGTGTTGAAATTTCAATGTCATAAAAAATTAATGTTAGTTTGCCCTCCTACCCAATTGGAACATTCCAATCAGTGTAAATTTATGATCTTCAGCAAGTGTTGAAATTTCAATGTCATAAAAAATTAATGTTAGTTTGCCCCCCTTTTTCCCTACTTATTTTATGAATTTACAATTTCCATGTCTAGCAAATAAATCGTGATACATCTGAGGAAAAACTAAAGTATCCCTGAGGTGAAAAGGAACACGGTCTTTGTTAACCACTGCAACATAGAAGAGTTTACCCACATTTGGAGAAGATTCGGCCACAAAAGAAGATGAGAGAGCTACCAACACACACACACACACACTCGAGTCTAATCAAGCTGAGATCAAGCCATTTAAGCACAAATGGAGGCTTTGATGAGCAGTTGAATGGTCAAATAGAATTCAAATTTGACAAGCTTGTAGTCAAATCAAGCGTTTTGTCGAGCCGAATCTAACGAGCTCAAGATCACTCAATTCTAAAAGTATTAATGCACTCAATTGCAGATAGAACACCATCTGATCAATTGGATCACTTTGGGTCATCGGATGGAGTGATCCAAATTCATACGACATATATATATATATATATTATTGACATTTTTATGAGTTCCACTTAAACACATATATATATATATATATATATATATACATATATATATATATTATTGACATTTTTATGAGTTCCACTTAACCTTCTCTCTCAGGCAAATAAATAAATTCTCTTTCATTAAATAACATCAGATGCCTTGACATTTTAGGTTGTGTATTATATTTCTTTTATTATCATTTTCAATATATATATATAT